TCAGGTGTATCGTGCAGTGGTCAGACATCTACACAATCTATGAAGTGGTCTCGCTAATAAGTCCAGTGTCCATCTGGCACACTACATAATCTTTACAACATTATTGATTATATTTCCCAAACTATTTCATATCCCCATGGCTATATTATGACTATTAATTTGTACTTTCTAAACCCTTTCTTTACCTTCTCCCCCATCCCCACCCCTCTCCTATCTATAATAGCAACCATCAGTTTTTTGGGTTTTTTTTTTGCCTATATCTCTGAGTCTATTCCAATCTTTTACCAGTACCTCCCATTGGCTGATCTCACCTAGAAGCCAGAAAACAAGGGAGCCTGGGCAATGCCGTTTCTCTGATAAAAGCAAAGCTGAGAATGGCAAGGACTGGACTGAGTCACCTGGGAAGACCGTCATAGCAATTGGAGATTTAGAGAGCAGGCACACAGAGGCTGAACTTCTGATTGAAGGGTATACAAATTGTGGAAAATATAACTAACATTTTTATGAGAAATGGTACAGTTTCTTGGATTTTTTCTGTCTTGACAAAAATTCAAAGCATTTAGGGATAGAGAGGACTTTTTAGAGCAGTTGTCTTAAACTGAGGGCCATTTGTCCCTCAGGGGATATTTGGCAACATCTGGAGACGTTTTTTGGTTGTCACAACTGGGTGTTAGGGGAATGTTAATGGCCGTTAGTGGGCAGAGGCCAGGGATGCTGCTAAACATCCTACTATGCAAATGAATGTGCTCCCATAACAAAGAATTATCTGTCCAAATGCCCATAGTGCTGTGCTTGAGAAACCCTGCTTTGGAGAATCATATCTAAATAACAAAATATCCTCTTCCCCGGGAGCAGTAGGTGCAAATTATCCTGGAAAGTGAACTGGATTGGAGTCAGGAGTCATCTTAGAGCTCCAACAACTTGATAGCTTTGTGACTGTAACAAGTCACTGAACTTGAAGTTTCCTCAACTGCAAATGAGGAATTTTAGCTAGAAGAGGGCGCTTATTTGCTTGTGATAGTTCATTGAGGTTTAAATTTTGATCTTCGGTACTGATGGTGATTATGAGGGAAGCTTTTCCTCTCTTGAAGGATATTAAAATAAAGTCAGATTTATGAATAAGCTAATATTTTACCTTCCTGCTTCCCAGAACCAACCACAATATTAAAAAACATTAAATTTGATTATATTACTTCAGAATCACAGCAAGAATGAAATAAAAAAATTAACTGTCATCAAATTGATAACTCAATGTAGATGGATATGTTTCTTCCAATTAAGAGAATGTAGGAATTATCTCCATTATGATTAAGACTGTACAATTGCACTAACTTAGATATATGAAATATATGTTAAATTTTGACAAGCCCTTCTCAAATCTGTCCGTTTTTCTGCTTCCCTGTGGCTACCATCCCTGATCTTTCACAGTCCCTCCTGAGGTAGAAACACCTAATGCTCTACTCAATATCCTTTTTTTCCCTTTGTCTACCTTACTGATATATATCCCTGATTTTGTTGGGATATAATGAGCCCAACTAAAATATTTTATTTCCCGCCACCTACTGCAGACACACAAATAATGTACATAATTAGTGAGAGTTTCTCATCTTGCATAGCAGCAGGCTGATCCCATTTTTAATTAATTTTGCAATAACGTAAGACCATCTTTTAAATGATTGAATTTATTGAACTCAATAGAGTATTAAAGTAGAATTTTATCATAGTTGATACAAGAGACACTCTCTGATGCCTGTAATCTAAATTGACCAAGAATCACATAATTTGAACTGTGCACAGTTAAAAAAATGTAACTTCTTCTGTACCCCAGACTGGAAAGGACACTGAGATGGATGTCTTGGGTGACAATACAAACCTACCTTTAAGAGTTAGTTCTGTACTAGACAAGCACAGTGAGTTGGCTTGCAAAGGTGGGATGTTGTTTCAAATTGCCTCAAGATCTGTTCCTGGACTCCTTGTTTTGTTCTATCCTTGAACAACATTGTTGAATGTCATAAGGCTTGCTATAAAATAGAATAAGCTCTCTTACTTTGTTGTTAAGTGCTATGGTTATTTGCCCTCACATTTTTATAGAAATACTAGACTTAGCTTGTCAATTTACACACACACACACACACATACACACACACACACACACACACTCTCATACTGGATTTTTATTGAGATTGCTTTGAACTGATAGCTTACATCTTTACAACATTGAGTCTCCCCATCCATGGCATAGCTATCCAATTATTTAGATTCTCTTTAATGTCTCTTAATAATATTTTAGAATTTTTCTGTTAGAAATCTTTCAATTGTTTAATAAATAAATTTAGCCAAGTTGCTGGATTCAAGGTCATCACATGCAAAATTGTTTTTCTATATGTCAATGACAAAAAGTACAAATTGGAATTTCAAAAAAATGAAAGCATCATGAAATGTCAAATACTTAGGAATAATCTAATGAGTAATTGTTAGACAGCTAACATAAAATTTATAAAACATTCTTAAGAGAAATTAATGTGTACAGAAATATAATTTTTGTGTTGATCTTAAATTCAGTAACCTTGCTAAACTTACTAATTAATTTTAATAATTTACCTGTAGATTATATTGTGTAGGGATTTTCTATATATACCATTGTGTCATTGGCCAATAATACAACTTTATTTCTTCCTTTCCAATACTCATACATTTTGATTTCTCTTTCTTGATTTATTGCATTGACTAAGACCTCCAGTGCAGTGGTGAATAGAAGTGGTGTCATCCATGGGTATGCAATATATATGAATATATAGGATTTTTTTATATATATAAATTCTAGAATTATGGTATATGCTAGTTTCGTCAGTAACCAAAATCATACTGAAATTCAGCATAAGACTAGGGACGTATGTAAAGAAAAAGCCATTTTTGATTAGATGGTTCATAAGTATAGAAGAAAAAAGAGATTTGAAGGAAAGGCTTGGATACAGTGAAACAGGAACTAACCAACTGCACTGGAATGGTGACAGGGGCCAGTTCCCCAAACATTTTTTTCCCCAAGGAAGTGGTAATGGGCACTAGACTGGAGAGAAACAGATGGCCTTAAACACATATTTTAAATTAGCAACATCCACATTTCTCATTATATGAGCATTCAGCCACTTGGAAAGCAATTTGAATGGGAACGTGAACTTGGAATAAAAAACTCTGGGTTTAAATTCCAGCTCCATCATTGTGTAACCACAGGCTAGTTGCTTAACCCCTTCGAAGTTCAGTTTCTCACCTGTA